TCCCTAATCAGGCCAGTCTACTTTCTATACAAATACAGTGCATTACCCAGTTGGAATCGAGGTTTATAAGGCTAACCTTCAAACGGTGTTCAAAGAAGAACAGTTTGTTTACATGTCGTAATTTACAAAGAGGCAATGTTTTAGAGGGTTTGCAATAGTAAGGCTTAAAAAAAAAAGACTTTCTACCTAAACCAGCTTGTATCGGTGTTTCCTGCACAGATCTAGAAAATTACTTGTCCCACCTGTTCCATGACTGTGCGGGTACATTGGAGCTTTATTATACTTGTTTCCTTCTAGAATAACGTGTGGAAGGGTAAATAATTTAAACTGCTTTTATGTTCTCGCGACAATGTCATGTTATTCATTGATTTGGTGGTGTTATTTGTTAATACACTTCTTTTTATATTTCAGAAAAGATGTTGGTTTGAAGCGATTTTTTCCTAGGAGTTTACTGGACTCAGTCAAGGTAATTAGAGTCTGCTTTATCGTAATAGGTGACCGTGTTAGGCAGACACCTCCCCCGTGGTATGCGGTTTTCTCCTTTACGTGTAAAAGTCACAATATAAAAAGCTGACAGTTATTCTAGTCATACTGATGGCAAGTAGATTTTTAAAGGTGTAGCATTCTGCCAGAAAACCATGGTTTCGCTTCTTGATTGTGAGTGCATCCGGCTAAGTACAACACCAAGAAGGTTGCGTTCACAGCGGTCCTCATCACCTAAGTCTTTACGGTCTCGGGTATTTTGACACACGAAAGTAAAGAAGCGGCACGTAAAAGAGCCGTAGTGGCAGCTGTAGCGTGTGTGCGCGCGTGCGTGCGCGTGCACGCGTAGAAGTGTGTTCTGGAGGTCTGTCTTCTCTTGTTTCAACCAAGGGCACTCCTCCCCGTTAGTAACTCTTTCAGGACACCAGTTCCTGTCTCCGCCTGTAGCTCCCACTGCAGGGGAGGGGACACCGGGGACCTGAGGTGTGGTTCCCCAGCCCATCCAGAACATGGTCCAGTGTGGTGTGAGGACGCAGCTTTGGATCAAGATAGAGTCCAGCTCAGCTGAGCTCTGCCTTTTCCTAGCCTCACGCTTTTGGACCTGGCTTCTTATTTCCACAACGAAGAAAATAATGTTTTGTAGGGTTGGTGTGGCTATTTAGCAGATCGGTGTGTGTATATGTATAAACTACTACCACAAGTACCTGTCACAGTGCAGTTTATAAACTGTGGCTGTTACTGCTCTGACTTTTTATCACAGAGGACATGTTCCACACTAGAGCAGCCATGTGGAAGACCATCCCACTCACTGAGGCCCAAGTGGGATAAGACAGAACACAATGGTTCAAAAACTGGCTCGGAAGCCAGACTGCCTTGGTGAAAGTTGTGACCCGATGACCTTGAATCACTTGGGACTCAGTTTGACCTGGAGAGTGAGGCCCTGGCGTGGGCGCAGAAGCCCACCCTGTGCATCGGCCTGCCCTTTGCTGGGTGGACCCAGGGGGAGGCGCTCACAAGTGTAAGACACCGTTCCTCAGGGCATTTACCCCATCATTGGGCGGAGAAGTGCACCACCCAGTGTAAAAGTAAAAAGCAGGAAAGGATACGAAAATGGCTATATCACATTAGTAGCACCATCAGTGCTCAAACATTAGTCCCAGGGTGGCCTGGGAATTACTGCAAAGTCTCCTTAGAGCTGTGTGTAGATAAGCAGTTATCACAGGAGGTATGACTGCTGGCATTTGGGAGTCCAAGAAGTTATTCTATATTTAAAAAGGATCCTCATACTCCAAACAAGCCACCCCAGGTCCAGGTCACAGGTGCCATGGTGTAAGTGTAGCCGAGGTGAGAAGGCCCCGGGGAGGTCCCCCATCACCGGCTCTTCTAAAGCTCAGCCTCGGCGTCCTCTCCCATACAGACTGCTCACCTCCCTAGGGGGGCTGCAGAAACATCCTCCACCTTAGGGTCCTGCTCAGGGTCTTAATTTTTAATTTTACTTTCTCAGGTTTTAATTACTAGATATGTACTTGTTTGCATTTTGTCTGCCTGCTTCCAGTATATTTTAAGATCCACGAGGACAAAGATAACATCTGCTGTGTTCTCTGCCCTAAACCCTGTGTTTGGCATAATCCCGGGCACACAGTAACATTCGCTAAATCTTATTTAAGTGAAACAATGAATGGATACGTTTAAGGGCCACTTGAAAGATGACTGGACTTAGAGGAGGCACTTTCCAGGTAGAGGCTACCGTGTAGAAGGAGGCATGAGAATAGCGCAGGTGATGACACTCCTTCACAACATAGAAGGATCGGAAGGCTGGAGAAGCCCGTTCCCCCGGGCAGCCCACTCTGCCCCTGCTGTCACTCCAGAAGCATCCCCATTCCTGCACAGGGCTCGTCCCCTCCAAGTGTCTTTCAGGCTGTCCCTCAGGACCCGGCCTGACTGGCCTTCCTCATCCTGACCCTGCTGCCGACCCTGATGCGCTTCTGCTGCTGTTTGAGCTCCACCTGGCAGTCAGGTCAGCCCTGTGACTAGAGCTCAGACACTGTGGTCACCTGTGTGGACGTCAGTACTCAGATGAGAGCACATAGGGGCCCTGGGTGTTCATGGCAGGGGAGGGACATGGTCACCTTTTGGACTTGAGAACATAAACCTGACAGCAGCATGGAGGACAGATCGAAAGCAAAAACACTCCAACCAAGAAGGGTAATCAAGGTGTGCAGTGTCAGCCCTGGATGCAGTGGTAGCTGAGCCTTGTGTGTGTGCACGGGTAGTGGAGGGGAAGGAATTGACCCTTGGGAGCTTGAGAAAACTTCGTGAGCCAAACAGATAGCACTTGTGTTTTCTGAAAGGTTCAGCTGCTGCTGACTTTGATGCGAGCAGGGAGAACAGAATTGACTTCTAGCTTCTGTTTCTTAGGTACAGATTCGTCTAGTGTTTCACTTCTCACACGCTTTCTAATGTAAAGGAAATCAGTATACTTTTGTAAAACAAATAATGTATATTTGGCTTCTTAAATAGCTTCATCAGTAGCTCATATCCTTATGCCAAAAATTTTTCACCTTCTGTGTAAATTCTTTCAACTGATTGCCGTCAGACTCTTGTGGGTATGACTGACATAAACGTATACCCATAGGTATGTAACAGCTACAGTACAAATGAGGTTGTGTTCAGACAGTCTCCTCTTCAAAACTATTGCCAATGAAACTTCAACTAACAAGAAATTCACATCAGCTTCTTGTTTCTCCCAGGCTAGCCCTATAGAATGGCTAGACCAATTAGTATTTGCTTTTCCAAAGGCCATTTTGTTTTATATGCCTTTTTCCCTTCATATGTAGATTTCTAGAAGATCGTTTGTAGTTAATGCTCACGTTGAAGGGTTGAAAGGTTACCTTATATTTGATGGAACTTAAGCTATGATTGATTGATGGCAAAACAGGATTGGGGTATATGTGCCCGATTACTAAGAATAATTTACAGGATATTTAAATTTTCTGACTCTCTGATCTTAGCAGTGCCAGAGGCACATTTTTAGAAACACTGTACCAGCAAAACTAACAAGTCAGTCCCAACCTGAGGATAGTCTACAAAACTGAGAGCTGGGCGATGGGGAGACCTGAGTAAGTGCAGCATGGGGTCCTGGGCAAACTAGGGGGTCTGAGTAAAGTCTGCAGCTAGCCTGTACTCTTGTACCAGCGCTGGCTTCTTAATTTGAACGGATGTTCCAGTGTCGTGTGAGATGTTAACTTCCGGGGCAGGTGATGGGGGGAGGTGGGCACTGGGCGAAGGGCAGGAAGTCCGTACTGTCTTTGCAGCTCTTCTGTAAATCTCAAATTACGTTGCAAATAAAATAGCCAGATTTCAACTTATTTGAGTGTAATTCACAGTGGAAATCTAATTTCAGAACCAGAAATCTTGCGAGATCAACAGTTACCAGCGTTTTGAAGTATCTGTACTTCAAAGTAATAGAAGGTTTCCTGGGGCCCATCAGGAGCTTAGTCCAGCCACCACTCCCATCCCTGTGCTGAGCACGGAGGCGCCCGGCTCAGCAGTCATTCAGCAGCCAACTCCTGGCACCTGCTGTGTGCCAGGGAGAATGAAGCCTGGTGTCAGCACAGACGTGTCCGTCTGGTCTGGGCTCCTGTAAGTAGGGTGGAAAAAAAGCACGCTTCAGACGTACACATGCACACACACACACACACACACACACACACACACACACACACAGTGGAATGTTACTTAGCCGTAAAAAGAAGGAAATCTTGCCATTTGCAGCAATGTGGTTGGGCCTTGAGGACATTGTGCTCAGTGAAATAAGTCAGACAGAGAGAAACAAATACTGTGTGACCTCACTTATATGAAAAGAAAAAAAGCCAGCTCATAGATACAGAGAACAGGTTATGGTTGCTGGAGGTTGGAGTGGGTGAAATGGGTGCAGGGCTCAAAAGCTACAGACTCCGGTTATAAGTAAGTCCCAGGGATGTGATGTACAGCATGGTGACTGTTAAACACTGTTTTGCGTATTTGAAAGTTGCTAAGAGGGTACGTCTTAAAAGTTCTCATCACAAGAAAAAGAAATGTGTCACTCTGTGAGGTGATGGGTGTTCACTAGACTTACTGTGGCGATCATTTCACAGTATATACAAATATTGAATCATTATATTGTACACCTGAAACTAATACAACGTTATACGTCAGTTATAGCTCAGTTAAAAACACGCTTCGCATGCACTGTTAACGTATCTATGTTTAGCATTTGGTAGGTGGGGAGATAATTCTTCAGTTAATGTTTCTTAGCCTGTTACTCTTTTCTTGCCTATTTTCTTTAGCACTACATTATAACTTTTTCATCCAGGAAGCCCTTGGAGTCCATTGTTGCTAGCAGCATCTGATAAATATTAGGTTGATTAATATGAAATTATTTTTGTTGTTCAGAAGGCTGAATAGCAGCAATTTCCGATGATTCATCCTAATAATACTGCCTCACTTTGAGTAGTTTTCTCTCTGTGTATGAATTGGTTTAAAATTGACTAGCATTCATGGATGGATGCCTTGTTTCCTAAGTCTGGGCAAACACAAAGCTGATGTTGAAACCCTGTAAACAGGGAAGTACATTGATTGATATCAGGAGACCCTAGGGAGTCAGATTTTGTGGAATTTTTTTCCTTACTGAGAAAGGAGGAAAGAACTGATGCTCTCTGAGGCATCCTTCTTAGAAACGAATCTGGGGCTCCTTTCAGATCGCGAGGGTTTTCTAGTTCCTGCCCAACACTGGCTGCTGCAGGCCGGAAATCTCAGTCCTCTTGGGTGGCCACATTGGAGTAGAGACCCCGAGAAAGCTCGGGCACTCACTCCCGGGCAGGTGCACCCGCTCTCGCTTGGCCGGGAGCCCGGGTGTGGCTCTGTGTCCCCAGGAAGCCAGCCCTGAATAGGCGCGCTCCCTCCTTCAGCTCCTGCGGCCGCTGCCCCGTGAGTGTGACTTCCTGTCTTAGCTGGGTGACGTGTAGGCCTCGGGAGGGGCCGGGCAGAGCAGCACGCGGAAAACTGACAGAGTCAGCTGGATGACACAGAGGCGTGAAACTGTAGCTCAGGCTGTCTCTCTGCTAGCACTGCACAGTTACTATTTTCAAACCTATTTGCCCAGTTACTCAGAAGTTTTCCGGCAGGTTGAATGGTCAGGTGCACAGTTTAGTTGACCCCATGCACACCCATTCCATGGGTGCTGGGGGTCAGGGGACAACAGTGAGGGAAGGAGACGCGGAATTGGGAGCGACTGTGCCATGGGGTCGGCAGGAGAATGAGAATCAGCAGGGACCATAAGGTGTTGCGTTTCATCTTTACACATGCGCATATTTACCTGTTACGTGAGAGTTATTTCTACACACTTAATAAAGAACTAACTAACTACGTATAATGCTCACATCACAGATATTTCCATTTCCTTGTTTTTCACTAGTCTCTCTTCTACCAGAATTCTGTATCCACGGGAGACCATCACAGAAATCAAAGCAAGAGCGGGGCTGCTGCGTGGGAAGCTTAGAGAAAAGAACATGGCTTTTGGAAAAGCACTTTGAGGACGTGGCAGTGCAGTGGGTTTTGAGAGGTGGGCGAAAGAGGTCAAGGTTGCTGCCTAGGTTTCTGTCTCTAAGCAGCTGGGAGATTTGCTGAGATGAGGAGGTCCAGGCCTGGAAGAGAGTCACAAGTTCTCTTGGTGGCATGCCAGGTTTCAGGTGTCTGGGAATTTCAGGTGGAAAGCTCAGATGGGCACGTGCATATGTGTGGGTCTAATGCTCAAGAGGAGACGCAGAGAGTGTTTGCAAAGCCTGGAGTCAGAACAGCTGTTAAATGCCGTCTCAACTGTGGTGAGAGTGGCCTTTTTCAGTCTCTGGGCTCGTGGCCAGAGCTTGGACGGCTCTTCCCCAAACCACGCGTCCCAGACTTTTCTTTTACAGAGTGTCCAAGGCCAACCACTCACGTTGTAGGGTAACATCTGATAGTCAGGCCTTGCTGCCCTTGAACCCATTTTGCTTCTCTTCAGTTTAGTTCCTGTGATCTAAAACCATAACTGATTCTCTTCCAATTGCCTGTAGTTCCACACTTGGCTCACCTGTCAGAACCCCAGCCCTGGTTAAAACCAATGTTGGCCTACCAAGCAGGCTTTGGCCCGCACTTCTTTCCTGCGGCCACTGTATTTGTGGGAGTCATCAGGCCCCATGCCTGTAATCACGTCGTCTGGAGACTGTAACGTTCTGACCCAGCCCTGCTGTCTCCTGAGCTCGGGTCTGTACCCAGCGTTATGCTCAGTGGTTCAGATCGGGAGACTTGCGGATCTCAGGCACGTTCAGAATTAACGGGACTTTATCTTCCCGGAGCCCTGCCCCTTCTGTTTGCCCGCTTGTTCCACCCAAACCTCGAGTTGTGTCGACTTCCCTCTTTCCTTGCCATCTCGAGCATCGCCCTGGAGGCCGTGCATGCCCGGCGCCAGTCTTCCTGCTTCCGTTCTCCCCCCACACCTTCTCTGCAGGAGCAGAGCCAGCTTGTGAAATAAAAGTCACCAGCCCTAGGTTATCTAGGGCCCGCTCTCTGCCCCCCGCCGCCTCACACCCTGGTCTTCATCTCCAGTAACCACAGCCCCTCTGGAACTGGATCCCACGCTGACCACTGCTCCTAGCGGTCCAGCTCACTCTGCGGTGTCCCAGATCCAGTAATCCTTTGACCACACTGGCACCTTCAGGCCACTCTGGGCAGGCTGTCACTGCCCTGACCCACCAGAGTATGCCACCCCCTGCTGATTCACCTGCTCCCACTTCCCTGACTGCTGAGATTAGCAGGCCGCCATGGGATGAGGTCCTGTCCCTGCCCCTCCAGATCCTCCCCTGGTCCTGTCTCCAGTCTCCTGGCTTTGCTTCCTGTCTGTGTGCATCTCACACTGAGGCTCAGGTGGCCCCTGGTATTCTCTGAGACCCTCCTCCGCCTTGCTTCTCCTGGTCTTGGCCATTTCAGTTCAGTGGTAGCTCTTACCTCTCAGTACATCCTGTTGATTCTGTTTTCAAAACAAATCTGAAATCTGACTACTTCTCGCTCCTTCTGCTTCTGCACTTGTGCAGCAGTGCCTGGGTCCCATCACCTCGCGCCTGGATTATTTTGTTGGCATCTCACTGGATCTCTCCTGCTCCCTTCGTACTGTTCCCAGCGTAGCGGCCAGAGTATCCCTGTCACAATCCATGTCGGATCACAGTATTCCTATTCCAGGCCGCCCCAGGGCTTTGCGTCTCACCGGCGTGGACCCAGTTGCGTCCTGTGGCCTGCACCCTCTTGTACCCTTCCCCAGACCTCATCCATCACACATCCTTTGCCCGCTGGCCCCCTCAGGCCACACTCCTCTCTCTGACACACCATGGACTGTGGGCTCACCACCCTCCACCATCCAGATGCTCCTGGTTTATAAATAGAAAACTCACATAAATGAAAAGGCACCCAGAGATCACCTGTGATCCCACTATATAGAGAAGAGAGGCATGGCTGGTTTGTCTTCACTGTGCGTTGGTGCGTGTGCCAGCCTGTGTGAGGCCCATATCCTGTGCTCTCCTTTTAAAGGCATCTACACTACAACAGATTGCCCTGTCTTATTTTTCCATGTAGCACTGTGATACGGATTTTCATGTCAGTAAATGGGATGTGCACAGCAGTCTTAGGACATCTGGGTAGCAGACACACTGCAGTGTGCATGGCCGGTTGTGGGGTACTCTACACGCTTCCGTGCTGAACCTCCTTGTTGCTGGATCCTTGCACAGTTCTTTCATCATTCCTAAAGAATAATTTCTCAAAGGTTGTGGTTTTAAAGTTTTTGATTTCTTATTGCCAAATTGCCTTCAGAAAGGGTGTGTCGACTTCCCCTCCGAGGTTGGGATGTGTGAGTGCCTTTATGTCCCCTCCTTTGCCGACTCCAGGTCACATGCGAATATAGCCCTTATATTTTTAATGCCTAACTGTTTACCACATGTTCTAATAAGCCAATTATTGCTTTACCAATTTCTGTTTAAGAAATAAAGCTTGGTACTGCTGAACTGTATACTTTAGAATGGTTGCAATGGTATAATTTATGTGTATTTTACTATAATTTTTATTTTATAAAAGAAACAAAGCTCTGATAAATACAACATTTGGTGAACGTAGGTGGTATTAAGTGGTGGCTGGACAAGAAATGTTCCTTGGTGTTGGCTGTTATTGCTGTGGTCTTTACTCATTGTTGGCTCTAAAAAGATGTTTGTAATTTTATCATGCAGGCCAAAGCACTAAGAAAATTGATCCAACAAACATTTAGACAGTTTGCCAACCTTAATAGAGAAGAAAGTATTTTGAAATTCTTTGAGATCCTCTCCCCAGTGTACAGATTTGATAAGGAATGCTTCAAGTGTGCCCTTGGTGTAAGTATGGGGACTTGGCAATAGGGTGGGACTAGGTGTGATTTCTTTTGCTTTTTCTTATCCATGTATATCTAAATTTCTGATTGAAATCTAATTTGTCGCATTTTTAACAACATGAGAATATTTTATCATTTTACAGTGGGAAAAATACAAAAAGAAAATGTGTCAACATGAGACTAAAACCATCCTTTTTTAATAGCATGCCTAAGATTTTTTTTTTTATTCCAGCCCAGTGACTCATTGATTAACTGTTCTCTAAGGGCTAGTTTACCTATTCAGATAAACTTCCCAAAGAAACCATGGGCTTGAGGCCCACTGGAATGAGGGCAGTCTGTCTGTCTCTGCTTAGGCTCAGCAGATGCTGCACCATGAAGGTGTAAATATTTTGTATTATTTGCTTACAAAGATCCGTAGCAAGCTAGTCCAGCCCCCCTTTGGTCCTTTAATGTGTCCATGGTTCTTTATCTAAAATATCTTTTTCCTTCTGGTACCTTTGCCGTCACCTGTTTCACCTTCAAGTCAAGCTGGATTATTTCGGTGGAGCTGGCGATTGGCCCCGAAGAAGGAATCAGTTACCTCACAGACAAGGGCTGCAACGTAAGTGTGCTTTGGACAAGTCTTGGGAGCGGCCTGTGTGGAACACACCTCCTTTCGGACCTGATTGTGGACAAAGGGGAATCAAAATAAGGAAATGAGGATTCTCTTGGAAAAGACATCATTCTGCCATTAAAGCTTTCAGTTTCACAGCATTTGTTGGTCAAGGGAATGAGGAGAGGAAGAGACAGCCTAGGTTGAAAGTTTTTGAAATTTTCTTTAGTCGGGAAGGAAGGGAATCACACAAATTGCACATATGTTGGTGAGATCTGAATGGGGTTGTTACAGTTTATCTGGAGAAGTTTTAGATACTAATTTCTTCATTCAGTTCTACATCTATTTTAAGTATATTTGTACTTGTATCATGTCCTTTGAAATAGCCTCTTCTGGCTCTTTCCAGGATCAAAAAAAATCACTAAGAAAAGGGCAGCCACCCCAATAGAGGATGTCCGAATAGTTAAGATGTAAGTGAAGCGACGTTCAGCCCCATAGTCATCAGATAGATGCACAGTGTGATACTGTTACACGCCTACCAGAATGGCTGAGGTGAAAGAGATTGAGTAATTCCAGGTGTTGGCAGGCATGTGGAACAGCTGGACATTTCATACACTCTGTGAGGGTATAAAGTGGCACGACCTCTTCAGAAAGCTCTGTGACGTTATCGGTCTTCTCTTTGATTTGTAGTCTCTTGTATTCTCTTGCAAGGTTTTCTTTGTCCTTTCGCATTTAACACATGTGGAATTTTGTGTATGGTACAAGGTGGGCCTGTGGTGTGTCCAGAGGATGGACTCTGGAGTGGGCAGCCGGGGTTCCCAGTGGGTCACTCTCATGCAGGCCGTGTGACTTTGAGTCCATTTCTTCACAGCTGGCTTGTGTTTCCTCGTCAGCAAAGTGGCAATAATAATTACAACTACCTAAGAGGGGTGGTAGGAGAATGAAGTGGGTACTGAGTGTGCAGTGTTGAGATGAAGGCCTTGCACAGAGGAAGCACTTAGAGGATGCCGGCTGCTGTCATTGTCCCCTTGTCGCTCTTCTTGTCGGTATCCCAGTGAGCAGCCAGCCATGTCAGCACAGTAATCGTATCTTTTACCTCTGAACTGAATTTCTGCCATCTTTGTGATCTAATTCTGGATCCTCTGTTCTGGTCCAAGGACACAGTTCTCTCTTTCTGTACTGATTCCATCCAGATGGGATTGCTGTAGGTTGGTGCTGCATCCCTGTGTCATCTTTTTTTTGTACACTTTCTGCATATATCATTTTTCTTTTGTACACTTTCCTGGCTGTTACTGGCTATTTAGTCTTTCAAAACCAAATTTATAGAATTAGCAGAAAATTCTGTTGGGATTCCAACTTGTTTGTTAATTTGTGAAAGTAGATATTAGTTAGTTATCTGTCCAAGAATATGGTATGTCTTTCTATTTTTTCAGGACTTCTTCTTTTTTTTTTTTTTTAATTATTTATTTATTTTTGGCTGTATTGGGTCTTCTTTGCTGCGTGCAGGCTTTCTCTAGTTGCGGTGAGCGGGGGCTACTCTTCGTTGCAGTGCGTGGGCTTCTCTTTGTGGTGGCTTGTCTTGTTGTGGAGCATGGGCTGTAGAGCTCAGACTCGGTAGTTGTGGCGCATGGGCTTAGTTGCTCCACGGCATGTGGGATCTTCCCGGACCAGGGCTTGAACCCATGTCCCCTGCATTGGCAGGGGTGGACTCTTATCCACTGCGCCACCAGGGAAGCCCGTTCAGGACTTCATTTACGTCCTTCAATAAGATGTCATAGTCTTTTTCGTATAGTTTTTTTGTTTTTTGTTTTTTGCGGTATGTGGGCCTCTCACTGTTGGGGCCTCTCCCGTTGTGGAACACAGGCTCCAGATGCGCAGGCTCAGCGGCAATGGCTCACGGGCCCAGCCGCTCCGCGGCATGTGGGATCTTCCCGGACCGGGGCACGAACCCGTGTCTCCTGCATCGGCAGGCGGACTCTCAACCACTGTGCCACCAGGGAAGCCCTCATATAGATTTTTTGTATTAAGCTAATTCATAAGTATTATAGAGTTCTGGGCCTTATTGGGAACATTTTTTTTGGCCATTTCCAATTTAAAATTCATACTGTGAGCATAGCAGAATATACTTGATTGTTGTTTATCATATATTCAGCAACCTTAGCAGAATATACTTGATGGTTGTTTATCATATATTCAGCAACCTTGTTCATTTAATAAGTCATTTTTTATTAGGATCTTAGATTTTATAGGTATATAATCATGTAATCAGCCAAAAAAAAGAATAGTTTTAACTTTTTTCTCTAATCTATGCAGTTCTTTCCTGTTCTCATATTCACAGGCACCTTGAAGATCATGTTTAAAAACGGGTGGTAGAGGACATCCCTATCTTGTTTTAGGTTTTAATTTATCAGTTAAAAGTGTGTCAGGCTGGGCTTCCCTGGTGGCGCAGTGCTTGAGAGTCCGCCTGCCGATGCAGGAGACGCGGGTTCGTGCCCCGTTTCAGGAAGATCCCACATGCCGCGGAGCGGCTGGGCCCGTGAGCCAT